TGAAATTCCAAAGTACAGTTCTGAGCTATGAAGGAAATTCAACAATGGCAGAGACCTTAAATGAGCTCCTATTTTCCAGTGATACACCCTAGTGAGTCACATGATTTTACATGTCTTTAGTTATCCACACCCTAAAGTTCTGTTTCATAGGAGTGCTTTATTACCTGAACTGCCTGTACAAATTCAAATGACCTCTAAATGCAGTTATACTAAAAGTTTTTTGTTTCAAAGTCCTCTGTGTTATCTTTCTCTTAATATTTCTCGACTATGCTTTTCTTGCTTCCCAAATAATGCAGTGTGCAACTTTTATTGGCTAACTGTAATTTCCCTCACATTTTGGTTTATTAACATATGTGCAAATTGTTATTGAATAATATTGATTTTTTCTCAGCTAAATTAGAATTATGGCACAAAGTACTATCTGTGCTGTAAACATGAATCCATCACAAAATTGAAAGGAAGAAATAAACATTTCTTAAGAACCACAGCTAACTTCGATTTCCAAATGAATTTTGGAATGGGCTTGCATTTGGCATACATTCACTGTGCTATTGGCAAAGTGCAGTTTTATGAGAATGTCATTTATAAAGTCATACTTTGTAAGGACTTTGTTATTTTTAAAACTGATGGCCTAATAAAAGCATGCAGTAACTTAAAAAATATATCTCTTATGTGGCATACATAGGTCTTAGTTACCAGTGTTGATACAGCTTGATGAAATCACTGTACAAGCAAAAGCGATCTTATCACCTCTGATTGTACTTTCAAACAAAGGGCATGACATGCCTAATTCCTGACTGCTACAACTCACATTTTAAAACATTATTTATGTATATGTATGTATGTTGGAAATTACCCTGAAAAAAAGCAGCAATTACAAATACCTTTATTTTGCCCGCCCCGCCTCCCCCCCCCCCAAAATCATATTCTGGGTGCCTTTTCCTGTCCTTTTCTTTAGAAGGAAGCAACGGGAAGAAGCATAAGGGAGCCTTGGTTTCCAGAGAGCTGCGACTAGGTAAGTCTGCTCTGGGATTCACAGTTTGTCTGCATAAACTGTAACATTACCATGATTGAAAGTTCTAGTTTATAAAATAAGGGCTACTCAGCAGTAACTTTAATGATTGGGATTCCACAGAAGAGCTCTTGACTGCTCTGTGTACATTCTTTCAGGAGTGAATCCTTTCCTAGTTTCAAGTATCCCTTTCTATCTCCCATTCTGTAACAGAAGTTAAGAAAGGAAAAAAAGAAACCTCCCCATTTTCCCTTTCCTGAGCACAGTGGCCACAGTGCCATTCCTTCTCCCCACTGTGCAATCAGAAATGAAAGGCTGGGCAGATGAACAGATTCCCAAGGGTTCCCTTTCTTCTGGTGGTGTTTAACATTTCACTGTGAGCCTGGTGCGGACTGTTCCGAATTCAAGTGTACCGTGGCATCTCGCACTGCTCGCAGCGATTTAGTGCCGGGTGGTTGAGAAAGGTACAGCTGTCACAATTCCATGGCGCCCCCTCATAGTCTTCATCTCGAGGCTGTGTCCGAGGACTCTGTTTGGAGCCAGGTAGATGCTCTGTTGGGAGTTAGGATAAAGAGAACGGGGGGGAGGGGATAAAAAGATTAAATTGTACCCGAGAATAATTCAAACTGACAGGAAACACTATAAAAAGCAAAGGAAGTAATTTCCTACTTTATCTAATGTGTAGGCCCATTATTACACATACCTATTAGAAATGCATAATTCAACAGGAAGTTTGATACATAATCTACTTTGCTCTAATCAATTTATTTTTGCTAAAAGAAGATGGATGCAGGGCCGGGCACGGTGGCTCACACTTGTAATCCTAGCCCTGTGGAGGCCAAAGCAGGTGGATTGCTTGAGCTCAGGAGTTCAAGACCAGCCTGAATAAGAGTGAGACCCATCTCTAAAAATTGCTGGGCGCCTATAATCCCAGCTACCTATAGTCCCAGGCTGAGGCAAGAGGGTCGCTTGAGCTCAAGAGTTTGAGGTTGCTGTGAGCTATGACACCACAGCACTCTACCCAGGGTGACAAAGTTAAGACACTGTCTCAAGGCTCAGCGCCTGTGGCTCAAGTGGCTAAGGCCACATACACCTAAGGTGGCGGGTTCAAATCCAGCCCAGGCCCACCAAACAATAATGATGGCTGCAACCGAAAAAAAATAGTCAGGCGTTGTGGCAGGCACCTGTGGTCCCAGCTACTTGGGAGGCAGAGACAGGAGACTCGCTTGAGCCCAGGAGTTGGAGGTTGCCGTGAGCTATGCCACAGCACTCTACCCAGGGAAAACAGCTTGAGGCTCTGTCTCAAAAAAAAAAAAAAAAAAAAAGACACTGTCTCAAAAAGAAAAGGGTCAGTGCCCATAGCTCAGTCAGTACAGTGAGTAGGGCCGGCAATATACACTGAAGCTGGCGGGTTCGAGCCTGGCCTGAGCCTGCTAAACAACTGCAACCAAAAAAAACAGCTGAGTGTTGTGGTGGGTGTCTGTAGTCCCAGCTACTTGGGAGGCTGAGGCAAGAGGATAGCTTGAGCCCAAAAGTTTGAGGAGGTTGTGAGCTATGATGCCATGGCATTCTACCAGGAGCAACAAAGTGAGATGCTGTCTTGAAAAAAAATAAAGATAAAAGAACAACATGCCTCAAAAGTTATCACTAAAAAAAAAAAAAATTACTGTTGTTGGTTTTTATTAGACTCTAAAAACTCAAAATTATCCTTTTTTAGAATAGGTAACTTTTTATTTTATGAATCATTATAGTAAGAAAATCTAATATATTAAACTTTTTAGATTCCATTTCCTATGTTAATTCCAAATGTAGTCTTCAGTTTTAGATTGTGGCAGTGCAAATATTTAATATGAAATGGTTTCTCAGAAGTGACAGTGGCCTCAGGAGCTGTGGGGTTCCTTGCTGGAGGTAGGGGATTTGTCTGGGGAGTCATTTAATATGTCACTATTGAACAAATATGTGAAAATTCCTGCCAACCAGTGAGAATTTCTTCATTTGGAATTTTTTTGTTCTTACTGTACAATTTTCTCAGAAGTCCCTTTCTTGGTGCCATGTTCTGTGGCTTACATCAAAAGAGAAATTTATCCTCACGAAGATTCCTAACATTGGTAATGTGATGAACAAATTTGAGACCGTAGGTAAAGGAGCCTATGGAGTTGTACTTAAATGCAGACACAAGATCATGTCTGTGTCCACACTCTTTACCTGGTGCACATTTTCCACGTGATGTGAAAAGAAGAGAAGTTGAACAAACAGAGGAACTTAAAGTTCCCCAAACTGATGGTGTCACTGTGGAGATATACTTGCAGGAAATGGAATAAAGAAGTTTAACTATGAGACTGAAGAACACAGTAAGGTGAAGATGAAAGGGGGCTTGCCTTGGCAAGCCTACTCCATCAGTGTCTCCTTCAAGTCTGTTTTGGAGGTGGCATTCCTGCTGACCAGTGGTATCTCTAGGGATTCAGCCTGAGTGTGGTTTACATTTGCAAATAAGACCCTTGCCCTTAGCAGGTGGACTGCTTCATCTCCCACACTGTGGAGGAAAGCATCTTTATCCTTTGCATGCTGGTTGTCTCCTTGGTATCTCATCTTGAATATCAAGTTATTCTGTGTCTTATTTAAGAGCAGCAAGGACCATGTGAAGGATCAGGACAGTGATCCTTACCATGATACAGCTGCTCTGCAGAGACCCTCCAGTGGCTCCTCATCAGCTGTTCCCCTCTCTACCATGTCTCCTCCTAGGGACAGGCTGCTTCCCTTCCTGACAGTTACAACCAAGAAGTGAGCAAAACTGTGCCAGTCACAGCACATAGCAAGATCAAATGGAGCAACCAGGAAGTGCCACCCCTAACTCACATGCACAGTCTTTTGGTTTCCCCACTGATAAGCAGAATTCTATTTTTTTTAAAAACTAAAAACCCTAGGCTTGGTGCCTATGGCTCAGTAGGGCGTCAGCCACATATACCAAGGCTGGCGGGTTCAAGCCTGGGCTTGCTAAACAATGACAACTGCAACCAAAAAATAGCCAGGTGTGTGGTGGGCACTTCCCAGCTACTCAGGAGGCTGAGGCAGGAGAATTGCCTAAGCCTAGGAGTTTGAGGTTGCTGTGAGCTGTGACACCATGGCACTCTACCCAGGATGATATAGTGAGACTATCTCAAAAAAAGAAAAGATACATACTTGAAGGTATTACTGTTCTGCTCAATTATTTTGTGTGTGAGACAGTCTCACTATGTCGCCCTCAGTAGAGTGCCATGGTATCACAGCTCACAGCAACCTCCAACTCTTGGGCTTAAGTGATTCTCTTGCTTCAGGCTCCCAAGTAGCTGGAACTACAGGCACTGGCCACAATGCCCAGCTATATTTTTGTTGTAGTTGTTTAGCTGGCCCAGGCTGGGTTCAAACCCACTACCTTTGGTGTTACGTGGTTGGCGTCGTAACCACTGTTGCTATGGGTACCGAGCCACTGCTCAATTATTAAAGAGAAGAAATGTACAGTAGAAAATGAACCTTTGCTCTAGTAGAGGCGGCACTAAACAACCTGTCACGAAACTTAGCAGATTCAAAGACATTGGACTAAGTTCATTTAGTGGGGGTGTCTCGGAAGAGTAGAGAAGTATGTGTTGGTATTTAAAGTGGTTGATCAAGAGCACTTAAATTACAAATAAAAATTGCATTAAGGACCGAGCAGGAGCACAGAGCGCAAAGGAGCCAAGCTGAACAGCCTGTCGACTCCTCCCCTCTGTAAGTAGGAGCCGCCTCAGCCTCCCCCCACTGTCAGGCCGTGAGGAAGGCGCCTGCGCAGTCACCAGGCTGTGAGGACAGCGCATGCGCAAGCAAGTGAGCGCTAGTGGGCGAGCAAGTACCAGGAAGAGGTGGCCACACCTCCCAAGCGCCCTGCTCGAGTAGCCTGAGAGGAAGCTGCCTGCCTGCCCTCTTCGCCTTTCCTTCTCCCGGCTCCTTCCACCCTGACCAGCAAAGCAGCAGCATGTCAGAGCCTGCAGCCAAAGTCAGTAAAAAGGAGCTCAGCTCCAACCAAGACGAGGAGGCCAACATGAACGCAGAAAAAGAAAAGCAGGAAGTACTCGAACGTGCTGACGAAGTACAAACTGAAATACAGGGACTTAACGAACAAGCCGCTAAGGAGATTTTGAAAATAGAACAGAAGTATAACAAACTCCGCCGACCATTCTTTGAGAAGAGGTCAGAACTGATGGCCAAAATCCCAAAGTTTTGGATAACAACATTTGTCTGCCATCCGCAATTGTCCGCGCTGCTTGGGAAGGAGGAGATAAAGGCACTGCATTATTTGACCAGAGTTGAGGTGACCGAATTTGAAGATAATACATCAGCTTACAGAATAGACTTTTATTTTGATGAAAATCCTTACTTTGAAAATAAAGTTCTCTCCAAAGAATTTCATCTGGATGAGAATGGTGATGAATCTACAAAGTCCACTAAAATCAAATGGAAATTTGGAATGGACTTGACGAAGCGTTCCCGTAAAACGCAGAGTCCAGCCAGCAAGAAGAGGAAGTGTCAGGAACCAGAGAGCTTCTTTACCTGGTTTACTGACCATCCTGATGCAGGCCCAGATGAATTAGGACAGCTCATCAAAGAAGATATTTGGCCAGATCCATTACATTACTACTTGGGTCCTGAGCTGGATGATGAGGATGAAGGTGTTAAAGGTGATGATGCACGGAAGAAAGAACAGGCGGATAAAGGAGACCGTGACTAACAGAACACTGATGGATTCCAACCTTTTGAAAAATTTTCTCCAGTTCCTGGGAGCAAGTTGCAGTCTTTTTGTTCTTTAAACTCTTGTGCTCAGTCACCCTGTTCTTCAGGTTTCTTTTCTCTACACCATGGTTCTCAATTTATTTTGGCAGGAAATAGCTTGAACAGAATGCAATGGAAAAAGACTCTCTACCTGTTTGTGTTACAAATACATTTTTATCCCTTCCTGTCTCAACAAAAACTATATGGACTTAACACTACCGAGCTCTGTGGGGAAAAAAGAAAAACCTGCTCCCTTTGCTGTGCTGGGAGGTGCTAGGCCCCTAGGCCCCTGTAAGTAATGCATAGAATTCTAGCTTTTTGTCTCCTTTCTCTGTATATTGGGTTCAGAGAGTGCACTGTGTCTCTATGTGAATATGGACAGTTAGCATTTACCAATATGTATATATTCTTTCTCTGTTTACTTTTCTCTTGTTTAAAAAAAGAAGAAAAAACTTTTTTAAAAAATGGTGTATAACTGGTGGGACCACACCTATGGTGCATTTTACAAGGGTGCATGTTATATTTACAAAGTGTAGAACAGAATATAAATGTCTTAACTCAGTAACTAAGAAAATGTGGTGAAGGCTATTAACTAGTTTGATGGAAAGTATTTCAAATTGTATAGAAAACCAGAACATTGTACCCCATAATTGGATTAATGTACAAACTATGATTTAACTAAAAAAAAAAACGGGGTATAAAACGTCAGCAGAGGGTGGTTTGAGATAGTTAAGTGGGCATTTGACATTTAAGTTGGCATGTTTAATTGTGATGTTTAATGGATATCCTTGCAATTTAAGATGGCACTTTTAAAATAATTTCCTAATGATGATTTGAGCCCTCCCACTCAAATGGGAGAATCGGCAGAACCTGTAGGATATTATTTGGAATTGACATCCTCTACTATAATTTTGTTCCTGTTTATTTTTAAATTGTCTTTTTTGTTTCTCTGGAAAGGAAAGACAATTCTCAGTTTTAAATGTTAAAAGTGTACAAGTTATTTGTTACAATAAAACTATGTACCCACAAAAAAAGTTTCTCAAATGCCTTTTTCTAAAACTACATGAAAAACCTCTTTTAACCTAACCAATCTAGGACCTCAGGACTCTCTTACGTGTTTCGTACTATGACAATTTGCAATAATTACTCTGAAGTAATGTACAAAAAAAACCTTTTTTAAACATTATTTTTGGTTTCCCCAAAAAGACACTGCTCATTTCATCAGACAGAAGTATTGTTAAAATAGAAGCATCTAGGCCGGGTGCAGTGGCTCACAACTGTAAACCTAGCCCTCTGGGAGGCTGAGGTGGGTAGATGATTGCCTGAGCTCCTAAGTTCAAGACCTGCTGGCGCCAGAGCTAGACTGCATCTCTAAAAATAGCTGGGCATTGGGGGGGGGGGGGGCACCTGTAGTCCGAGCTACTCAAGAGTTTGAGGTTGCTGTGAGCTATGGTGTACAGCACTCTACCGAAGGCTACAAAGTGAGATTCTGTCTCAAGATATAAAATAATCTAAAAATATATATACACATGTATATATATCAAGAGAAGTATCTAAAACCCAAAGGCATTGTAGATGTATGTTCTCATTTGATTTAAAGGTGTGCAACCTTTTCTTTGTTATGGCATATTTAAAAAGCTAAAATATTTAGGCCTTGTAGAAAATATTCTCTATATAAGTTTCAAAGATAAATGAAAAGTTTATAGAAAAGTGATTTTTTTTTCTTAACAATATGAAGTATAAGGTACTCTCATGCTGCTTATTTGTTCTTAGAATGGGGTTTTTCAAAGAGTCTCACTATGTCACCCTCAGTAGCATCACAGCCCACAGCAACCTCTTAACTTTTGGGCGTACATGATTCTCTTGCCTCAGCCTCCCAAGTAGCTGGGACCACAGGTGCCCACCACAACACCTGGCTATTTTTTTGTTGCAGTTGTCATTGTCATTAAGCCGGCTTAGGCAGGGTTTGAATCCGCCAGCCTTAGTATGTGGCTGGCACCATAACCACTGTGAATGGGATTTTTCTACTTTCTTCACACATTCAGGGGAATTTAAGAAATATCAAATAGAATGGTTGCACAAATTCAAATATCTATGACATTTTTAGAAACTTCATTTCAACTGAACTCCTCATTTCTAAAGTTAAAAAAGCATAAAAAGCTTCAGTGGGAAGTTACAAAATCCAGAGATTTCTAGTTATTTAATGACTTATTTGGCCTTGCTTTCTCTTTACTATTAACTTAGAGGTAATCTAAAATTGTAGCCACTGACCACATGCAGCTATTGAGCATGTGAAATGAAGCCAGTCCAAACTGAGATGTGAAGGCTGGGCACGGTGGCTCGCACCTATAATCCTAACACTCTGGGAAGCCAAGGTGGGTGGATTGCTTGAGCTCATGGGTTCAAGACCAGCCTGAGCAAGAGCGAGATCCTGTCTCTAAAAATAGCCAGGCGTTGTGGTGCCAGCTACTCGGGAGGCTGAGGCAAGAGAATCGCTTAAGCCCAGAAGTTTGAGGTTGCTATGAGCTATGACATCACAGCACTCTACCAAGGGCAACAAAGTGAGACTCTGTCTGAAAAAAAAAAACAGAGATGCAATATAAGAGTAAAATATACCTCAAATTTTAAAGATTTAGTAAAGAAAAGTAAAAAAAAAAAATTTTTTTTTTTTTTGAGACAAGAGTCTCAAGCTGGCACCTTGGGTAGGATGCCCTCCCGTCACAGCTCACAGCAACCTCAAACTCTTGGGCTTAAGCGATTCTTTTGCCTCAGCCTCCCAAGTAGCTAGGACATCAGGAACCCACTGCAACACCCGGCTATGTTTTGTTGTTGTTGTTGTTGTAGTTGTCGTCGTTTTAGCTGGCCCAGCCAAGTTTGAACCTGTCAGCCTCGGTGTATGTGGCCGGCGCCCTACCTATGGAGCTATAGGCGCTATCAGTGAAGTAAAATATTTCATTAATGATTTTATATTGATTTCATACTGAAATATTTCTCATATACCATATTAAATAGAACTAAGTGGCTTCTAGAAAATTTTGAATTATATATGTAGCTCACATATTTCTCTTGGACAGAACAGCCTAAGAAACTCAGTATAGAATAATTTTTAAAGCAAAAAATAAAGGTCTTATGATCTATCTTTGTGCATTCTACACAAACTTAGGACAGAAAAGTACAAACCATCCACAGCTGCTGTTTGGGTATCATGGACGTCTGCCTGTACTTTGGAAGTCACACTAATTCTTCGGGCTTTTCTCTCAATTGTGCAGGGGTCTGAGGAGTCTGTAAAAACAGAAGGAAAGCCAGTAACAAATAATACATTTGTTAGCAAGAGTAAATACTCATTGGCTCATAAGGATGGCTCGTGCAACCCCCAGAGATGAGTGCATTTACCCTTCCTATTACTTCATGTTACCTTCAGTTCTCTTATGAGGGCAAATACTATGTTTAATGCTGCTTTTTACAACATATACCGAGTAGTGGCTCTTAAGACTTTTTCTACCTTCTCCAAATATATGGAATAAATGCCCTATTTTACCAGTTTCCTACTTTTTAGTGGATATGGGGTACAAACTCAGTGATAGCAATTAAATGTCAACATAAAAGCAAACTTTATGACATTATACACTTTAGCAAGTAATCTTAATCTCTGATTAAGCAATAGCTATTCCAAAACAGTGTGTTGGCTTACTCCTAGCACTCTGGGAGGCCAAGGCAGGTGGATTGCCTAAGCTAAGGAGTTTGAGACCAGCCTGAGCAAGAGTGAGAACCCCATCTCTACTAAAAATAGAAAAACTAGCCGAGCACTGTGGCAGACAGCTGTAGTACCAGCTACTCGGGAGGCTTAAGACAAGAGGATTGCTTGAGCCCAGGACTTTAACGTTGCTGTGAGCTATGAGACCATAGCACTCTAGCCAGGGTGATGGAGTGAGACTCTGTCTCAAAAAAAAAAAAAAAAGATGGACTGGAAATACACTATTATCCATGCAAGACTATTATAATAATGACAAAATAAAACTACAGAATTTTTATTTTTATTTATTTTTTTGAGACAGAGTCTCACTTTGTCACCCTTGGTAGAGTACCATGGTATCACAGCTCACAGCAACCTCCAACTCCTGGGCTTAGGCAATTCTCTTGCCTCAGCTTCCCAAGTAGCTGGGACTATAGGCACTTGCCAACGCCCAGCTATTTTCTTGTTGCAATTTGGCTGGAGCTAAGTTCAAACCTGCCACCCTCAATATATGGGGACAGCGCCCTACAGAGCCACAGGTACCGTCCAAAAGTACAGAATTTTTAAATTAAAAGCATGAGCAGTACTTAAAAAATGTGAACCAACTTGGATGGCGCATGTGGCTCAGTAGGTAGGGCGCCGGCCCCATATACCAAGGGTGACAGGTTCGAACCCAGCCCCAGCCAGCTAAAACAGCAGTGGCAATTACAACAAAAATAGCCAGGCATTGTGGCGGGTGCCTGTAGTCCCAGCAACTCAGGAGGCTGAGGCAAGAGAATCACCCTAGCCCAAGAGCTGGAGGTTGCTGTGAGCTGTGACGTCACAGCACTCTACTGAGGGAGACAAAGTGAGACTGTCTCAAAAAAAAAAAAACAAAAAAACAAAAAACTGAACCAACTCAAAACGATACTATATATTGACAAATGTGTTTTGAAATCATTTCATGAATTTCAATTACCTACATGTGTAGAAGTCAAGGAGACACTTTGCAACATGGACAAGAACTATCTGACTTTTTATTGTTAGAAAATTGTTTCCATTAGGTTATTCGTAAGCAAACCTTTGTATTATGTAAAAATGGCAGACCTCATAGCATGGTGCTTAGACACTTATAAATATTCCATTATCAGAGTAATGAAAGCAGTGTAAACATCTCCCTAGGCTCCAAAGAATAAGGTAAAGTTCTTTCTTAGATCTGTAAAGTACAAAAGCATTACATACCCTTA